GCAGGTGTGGGCAGCACTGATCCAAGCCGCAGGGCAAGATCCGCAGTGCCCCGAGGATTGCAAAAAGTGCTTCTTGGCGTACTGGAACGATGTCGTGCTGCAGCGAGATCTCATGGCGCTCGCGGACGAGGTTCGGGCCTGCCGTATCAGGGTCACACGCAAGCAGGAACAGAAGTCGGAAAAGTTCAGGTTGACGTTTGCGGTGGATTCGCGGATGCCCGATCTCGAGCGCCACCTTGTCCAGTATCTGAAGACGGTGGGCGGGGAGCGCAAGGTGGGAGCGGCTCCACGTGGGGCCCTGGAGAGAGACGCGTCGAAGTTGCTGGATCGTATCACACGTTGAGCGGAGTGAGTAGGAGGATTGCAAGCGGAGATGAGCAAAAGTATGGAGTGGGGGACGTGGGAGCTGGGACGGTGGGTGGCGGGGAGGAGAATGCAGAGGAGCGGCGCTTGGCTGCCGCTGCGAGTGCCCGAGCTGTGTCCCAGTTTGCACGCGAGGTATCGCGACGACCGATGCTGGCGAATTCGGCTCGTCTCAGAGAGTTGGCGGCTAGGGGGGCCCTCAATCTCCGACCTCCTCCTCCTCCGAGTGCTGCTGCTGCTACTGCTTCCTCCTCGTCCTCGGGGGCCCCTCAGCCTTTTAGACTTGCCGAAAATCATGTCCTGGAGGGTCTCTGGAGACTCGCGCCAGTTTATGGCCCAGGGACGCCGAGTTTCAAGACCAAAACCTAAGCCGCGGGCGAAGTCTCGGGGGTAATTTTTTACTTTTTTGTAGGGCCTTGAAGGCCGTCTGATTGGTGAGTTTGAGTCGTGCCGCCGCCCCCCTTGAGCGCGTACACCCGCGCCGCAGGGCGGGTTGGGGCCCGAGCACTCGGCCGTGCCTGCAGAGGCTGGATGCCGTGTGAAGCTGCCTGCGAAGGCCACTCAGGGGCCAACTTTTTGCTGCCATGAGGTGGCTCGTGGACACGGCCCCCCAGAGTCGATCTGATCTCTGATCTCCTCCGCCTCCTCCTCCGCCTCCTTCTCCTCCGCCTCCTCCTGCCTCCTCCGGCGCCTGGGCTCGCCCGGCATCACCCAGGCCGCAACCACGGTGATGTCGTCCTCCTTCGAGGGGCAACGCTGTAGCGGGGGACTGGCCCAGGGAGGGAGGACATCGTCCCGGCGGCGTCCCGCCGCCGTCCTCATCAGACGGGGGCCGAAGTTTCGAGGCGCGAAGGATCTTGAAGGCTTTCGTTGGCTCTCGGCGGCGGCGGCGCCTCGCCGAGGGCGTTGCAGGGATGCCTGGCTCGCCCCGAGCGGCCGCCAGAGACCTGAGCTATGGCCCGAAAACCACCGGGCACTGGCCCAGGGGGGGGAACATCGACCTGGAATCGGCGATACACCCTGCGAAATGCTTTAGAAATCATGGGTTAAGAAATTCATGGTCTCAGAATTTTTAATAAAAACCCAGAATGTATATTCAAATCTTAGGATGCGCATTGAAACATTAAGAATAATCGAGACTCTGGCCGAAAACTTGGGTTTTCTTAAGCATCGCCTCGAGTGTACATGGCCGATAGACCGGCGATAGACCCCCGATGGCGAATCCAAAGATCATGGGTGTCTGGCCCCTGTTGGCCATCGATGGGCGATTGGGGGTCGACGCATCCCCCCGTGAGCAGATCCCCTGATGGTTTTCGAGCCACGCCTCTGGCCTCCGGCGGCCGTTCTGGACGATCGGGGCACCCCCGGAACGCTCTCGGCGAGGCGCAGCGGCTGAGAGGCATCCCGAGACTGGGAAAAACGCCGAGGACCCACGAAAACGCTCCAGCACCTCGAGTCTCGAAGCCACAACGTTCCCCCTGATCCTACGCCCCCCTATCTACAGGAAGGGAGAGCTGCATAAACATAAACTGTTGGAGGTCCGCGCTGGTTTCTTGGATCTGCGCTGGGCCCCCCTCCTTGGCGCGCTGAGCGCGCCAGGGGCGGCGCCAGAGGCGTCGACGGGGGGGCCCAGCGCAAATCCGAAAAATCCACGCGCTTGGGGAACCCCTGGAACGGAGGAGGATTGGATTGAAATGGAATGGATTGGATTGGATTGGATTGGATTGGATTGGACACTTCGAAGGCAAGGCTGGGCCATCCAGCAACGAAGGTTTGAGGGCAGACCATGTACCGCCCAGCGGTGCAGGGCCTGCGCGCCAACCGACATGCCAGAAGAACCCGACCTACAGAGGACAGCCACGATGACTCCCATGCAGTGCAAGCCTGGGGCCAACAGGCGGCGGGCTTCTGGTTTCCCTGGTTGCCATCGCCAGCTGGGTAGACGCCACCAATCCAAACTGCGACGCACGATTACAGCCAGACGTCCATATCCTCCAATCCTCGGCCCCTCCCACCCAATCCGCATCAGAGGCGCAACCTGAGATCCGACACGTGGGAACGAGGAGGGAGGGAGGGAGAGATGCAGACGCTGGTCTTCGCCAGCTCCAGGGCCTGTCAGCCTTGCGTTGCCTCCAACTCCGGAGGGAGGGGCCGCAGGCGGCTTCAAGACTTGCAGGAACTCCTCCTCCACCTCCGACCTTCCATCCTGACCTCCACCACCCAAATGCCGCCGACACAGCTCCGAACGGAGGGGTGGAAGGGTAAAATATGAGGGGTGTCTCTATATATATATATATATATATATATATATATATATTGAACTACGTACTGGAAAAAAACAAACGAACTGATTCTCCTGAATGCTGAAGTCCCTGTTTTATCGGTAAACAACGCGACATGAAGAAACATGCCCACTCTTCTCGAACAACGACAAACAAACTCGCATTTCGATGTGAACTACTCGACTCAAACGACGAACAACACATACAACAACTAACAGTTCGGGATGAACAAAAGACTGGAGAACATAATGACACTTCTACGCCAACATGCGAACTTTGGATGAATCAATTCCTGAACGAATCCGTGAAAACAATCCACAACTTCTGAAATTAATCGGGGCCGATGGGGCCCCACGCGCATTCCTTTCGAAATGCTTGTGCTTTACCTCTTGGATTCGATTCGGTCTCCGAGCCGGATCGCCAGACGAAACAAAATGCAAAATCCCAAATCCAGAGAACTGGTAAAAAAAAACAATGTGATTTCCAATTGGATAGGGGCCGATGGGGCCCCACGCGCATTCGTTCCAAAATGTTGGCATTTTACCTCTTGGATGTAATGTTGTGTCTGAGCCGGGATCGCAAGACGAAACAAATAAGATGTACGAAAATCCCCAATCCAGAGGACCGGTCAAAAAGCCATTGGTATTCCAATAGGAGTCGGGGCCGATGGGGCCCCACGCGCATTCCTTCCAAAATGTTGGTGCTGTACCTCAGGTCAAGTGGTGGCCGCGACGAACGACGGCATGAATCTGGATGACTTACCCACTTGCGCCGCGCGGTGGACGAACGACGGAGCGAACCTGGCACTACTTACCTACTTGTAGCCGATTAAACCCCTCTCATGACGAAATATAGTTAGACGGGGAGGGAGATAAGGGGAAAGACGCCTACTAGGCGAAGCGCTGCCGCCTCACCTCGGCCTCGCCCTTCCCCTCGCCCTTGCCCATGGCAGTTGTTCAACGCGGCCTCGCACTCCCTGCACCGGGCCGTCCCGCCCTGGATGGCGAACCGGCGCGTGCGCGCACGGGCGCGGCAGTCAATAACGAGTCCGCCGTCCATCCAGTCCTTGCCTTTGCCATCGACGCCCTTGCCCTTGGAGTTGTCCTTGCCCTCGAGGGGGGAAAGTTAACACGGGTCGGCGCCAGCAGCCCATGGCTCAGGGCGCGCATCCGCTTGTGCAACGGACTCGGCACGAGGAGCGGCACGCTCAGCAGGTTGGCATCCGCCACCATCTCTAAGCACAGCCTGGGCAGCCAGTGGCCTGCACAGTCTCCGCCTCCAGCACGGGCTCGCGATCGCTTGGGTGGCGCCAGAGAGCGAATCATTCTGCACCTCCACTCCAGCATCAGCAGCATCAGCAGCATCGCGACGTGCTGCGGGCACCTCGGCATCCGACGCCGACGCCGGTGCAGCTGCCAGCCGCGTGGGCCGCGACCCCCGGTGGTGGGCCAGCGCCGAGAAAGCATGCAAGAGCCGCGCCGCAGCACGGGCGTCTGCGCGCCTGCACTGCTCCCGCCTGGCAGCAGCAGAGCGGTGGGGGACGCCGGGGCCGGCGAGCCTCGCAGCCTCCGTCGCCCGGAAGCCAGGAGCGAGGGGGGGCAGAGCGGGGAGGGAGAAAGACGCGGCGGCGCGCGGGCGCCGATGGCGCTGGCTCGGCGAGCCGAGGGGCTCGGGCCGAGCTGGCGCTAGGAGTAGGAGGAGGAGGAGGAGGAGTAGGAGGAGGGGGAGGAGGAGGAGGAGGAGGGAGGAGGAGGAGGAGGGGGAGGAGGAGGCGGAGGAGGATAAGGCGGAGGAGGAGGAGGAAGAGGAGGAGGAAGAGGAGGAGGAGGAGGAGGAAAAACAGGAGGATGAGGGAGGAGGAGGAGGAGGAGGAGGAGGAGGAGGAGGAGGAGGAAGAGCAAGGTGACACCAGCGAAGGATCACTCTTACGTGTAATCGATGTCGCTTAGCACGGGGGAAACAGGTCTTGAGGGAAACAGGTCCTGGGCCCCAGGGCCTTCCCCCAAGACGAGATCCTCATGCTGAGCCGCTTTCTGACAGTCCCGGGCCCCTTTGAGGGCCTCGAGAGCCCGAAGCCGGCGAAAAACCTCAGGACCCGCTTCCCTCAGGACCCGCTTCCCCCCCGAGTGTCCCCTCCTCCTCCTCCTCCTCCTCCCTCCTCCCTCCCTCCGCCTCCGCCTCCGCCTCCGCCTCTCCTCCTTCTCCGCCTCCCTCCTTCTCCTCCCCCTCCTCCTCCTCCTCCTCCTCCTCCTCCTCCTCCTCCTCCTCCTCGTCCTCCTCCTCCTCCTCCTCTTCCTCCTCCTCCTCCGCCTCCTCCTCCTCCTCCTCCTCCTCCTCGTCCTCCCCCTCCTCGAGCATGGCTTCCCCGATGGCGAGCCGTCGCCCCTGATCCTTACCGCCGGTGTTCTCGCAGCCGTAGCGCCGCGAGGCCTGGGCGGGTGCGGAGCGGCCGGGCCACGGGGGGGCGGCGGCATCATGCCGCCTGCGGAAGCCGAGCGACGACGACGATGACGACGAAAAAACCTCAAGGATCATGCGCGTCGTCGTCGTCGTCGTCGTCGCCGTCGTCGTCGTCGCCGTCGTCGCCGTCGCCGTCGTTGTGGACGTCGTCGTGGACGTCGTCGGCGGCGGCGGCGGAGAAGGGAGGGAGGGAGGGAGTGAGGGAGGGAGGGAGGGAGTGAGGGAGGAAGGAAGGAAGGGAGGGAGGGAGGGAGCGAGGGAGCGAGGGAGGGAGGGAGCGACGGAGGAAGGGAGGGAGGGAGGGAGGGAGGGAGGGAGGGAGGAGGGACGGAGGAGTGAGGATGAGGAGGAGGAGGAGGAGGAGGAGGAGGAGGAGGAGGGCGAGGGGAAGAAGGAGGGGTGGCGATGCTGCCCTGCCTGCGGGGATGGGCCGAAGGGCGGCAAGAGCAGGAGCCAAGCTGCGGCAAATTCGGGCCGTGACGACCCAGGCGTCCGTCTCTGACACCGCGTGGATTTTTCAGCCTGGAACGGACGACGACGAGGACGACGACGACGACGACGACGACGACGACGACGACGACGACGACGACGACGACGACGACGACGACGACGAGAGCGACGACGACGAGAGCGACGACGACGAGAGCGACGACGACGATGAGAGCCACGACGAACGATCGGCGGCTTGTCGACCGCAAAATAGTTCCACACTGGCGCGGCGTTCGACCTTGAGCGCCCGCTCTGGGGTCGTCGCCAGGCCAGCGCGACGCCCACCTGCCGCAGACAGCCCGAACGAGTCAGAGGGGCCAGCCTGCCACCCCGCCTCCCACATCGGGAGCGCTGCTGGGGCAGGCAGGCAGTGGCAGAAGGGAAAAATACATAAACATAAACTTCTGGAGCTCCGCGCGGATGTCTTGGATTTGCGCTGAGCCTCCCTCCCTGGCGCGCGGGGCGCGCCAGGGGCGGCGCGCGGAGGCGCCGCCAGAGGGGCTCTGGCGCGGATTCAAGAAATCCGCGCGGAGCGCCAAAAGTTTGTGTTTATGTGGTTTTTGCTCCTCTTCGAAGTGGGGCCGGCGCCAGTTGCCGCCCAGCGGGCGGAGAGCGCGCTCGTGCGCATCCCCGCTGCCGAGAGGGCAGCGGGCGGAACTCCCAGAGAAGAGCGCCTGCCCGGCGCATCGACGCCAGCGCCCCAAGCCGCCCCCCCCGCGCGCGGCCGCACGTCTGGGCAGAGGCGGGGAAAGGCAGATCGCCGCGGCGCCGAGGCTGGAGCGCCAGCTTCGGGCGAGATCTGCGCGGCGCCCGGGGGGGGGAGCGTGGCATGTCTCGCGCCCTCGCGCGTTGATGGGCTTCTTTTCCACCGCCACCACCACCATAAGTTGGAGAGGGAGAGGGTCCTCCTCCTCCTCCTCCTCCTCCTCCTCCTCCTCCTCCTCGTCCTGCTCCTGTTCCTGTTCCTGTTCCTGTTCCTGCTCCTGCTCCTGCTCCTGCTCCTGCTCCTCCTCCTCCTCCTCCTCCTCCTCCCTCCTCCTCCTCCTCCTTCCTCCTCCCTCCTCCTCTCTCCTCCCTCCCTCTCTCCTCCTCCTCCTCCTCCTCCTCCTCCTCCTCCTTCTCCTTCGCCTCCTCTCCGTCCTCATCATCGTCCTCCTCCCCCCTCCCCCTCCAATCCAACTTGTGGTGGCGGCGGTGGAAAGCAGGCCCCTCGAGCATGGCCCCGCCCCCCGCTGCGGACTCCTCGAGAGCAGCGAGGGGCACGCGCCGCGCCCCGAGCAGAGGCGCCCGCTGCAGGCGAAAAAAAAACAGCGCGGCGCTCAGGCGAGAGCGCCACTCGTTGCCAGGTCGGGCGATGTCTGCCAAGAGATGGCGTGCACACGGTGTCACCTCCTCATCCGCCCTCCTCCTCCTCCTCCTCCTCCTCCTCCTCCTCCTCCTTCTCCTCCTCCTCCTCCCCCTCCTCCTGCAAGTGCCCGAGAAGCGGTCACGACACAACAAGCGCGCCTACCCCCTCTGTTCAGCAGGGGCAGCGAGACGATGACGAAGAGCGCCGCGACGACCAGGTAGCCCGCGAAGAGCGCCAGCCAGCGTCCAGCGCGCGGCTAGGCCGCCTCCGCGGCCCGCAGCGCCGCTGCCCGGCTGGCGCGGTCAGCCCCCAGGGCGGTCCAGAGCTTCCGCGCCGTGGCCTTGTGGAGGGCCACGGCGAGCTCCTTGCCCCACCAGGACATCAGGGCGCTGGCGGCTGGCGGCCGCCAGCGTTGCCTCCTCGCCCAAGAGGGCCGCCTCGTCCCGGGCCAGCTGGCGCAGGAGCCGGAGGGCTGCCGGCCCGTGGCGGCCCCCCGTCTCCAGCGCCAGGGGCACCATGCCCCAGGGGGTGCGCCCCGGAACGTAGCGGCGGCGCTTGTCGGCTTCCGCTGCGGCGTTGACCGCGCCGCTGCGCCCTGCCGCCGCCGCCAGGCCGTCGGCGTCTCCCGGCATGCAGTAGCGCACCGTGGCATCAAGGTACAGGCGGGGAACGTCAGTACGCTGCACCTCAATATCGAGGATCGCCTCCTCGCGTTCTGACCGCAGTGCGGTCCCGCAAGTGGCGCAAGGGCTCGCCGGCCGGTCCGCCGTCGTCCCGCCAGCGTCGCAGCCCGCGCATGTCCAGCGCCAGCGGTCCCACCCGGGGACGTGGACCAGGCTCTCCACGCGGTGCCCGCACTCCGCGTGGATGCGGGCCCAGGCGCGCTCCATGTCGCAGCTGCGAGCCTTCAGCCCCCCCCGCGGGCGCAGCGCCAGGCGTGGCGCGCCGCTTCGCCCAGCGGCTCCCCGCAGCGCTGGCCGGCCCTCGCGAGGCGTTGCAGCAGGTGGCGCCAGGCGGGGCCGCGGCCTGGCCCAGCAGCGTCCTCGCCGTGCTGGCGTAGTCCGAGTCGTCGAGGCGCCGCGCGGCCACGCTGGAGGAGGCGGTCTGCCAGGCGCCCGCGTGCGGCCCGCCGCAGGAGCGGAAGAGTGCAGTCGCCTCTGGCTCCAGGGCCCCCAGCAAGGTGTCGAAGTTTTTCATGTCGATCCTTGATGTTAGGGCCTTCTGAAGCTTTGGCTTGGGCGCCTTTGCCAGTGCCTGCCAGGCGGGGAGTTCGGCCAGCTCCGCGCCAGGGCGGGGCGGCGGCGGCGCCAGCCCCGCAAGCCCCGCCAGCGCGGCGCGGCAGGCGCGGGCAGAGCGCAAGGGGCAGGTCTCCGGGTCCGCCAAGCAAGCCAGCCCCGTGCGCTCCCGCACGCCGCTCAAGTTCTGCGTCCAGGAGCCCGCCCAGGCCGCTGGCGCCAGCTGCGTCCGGCTGCGGAAGCCGCGCGCGCCGTCGCGTAGCGGCAGCCGGCACTGGGCCCTCTGCAGCTCCGTCAGCGGGTCCAGGCGCGCGAGCTCCTCGTAGACAGCCATGAGCGCGTCGTCGTAGGCCGCCGCGGCGGCTTCCGAGGCCCCCGGCGTGTTGGTGCGGAGGAGGTGCGTCAGCTTGCTGGCCCCGGTGTGCTGGAGCAGCAGAGTGGCGGTTTGCAGGGCGGGCAAGTGTGGCGAGGCCTCCGCTGGGAGGGCCGCGAGCCTGGCCAGCAGCTCGGCCGCGCGCCCGGCCGTCTCCGCGCAGCGCTCCGCCGCGAAGCTCTCCCCGACGAGGTCCACCTGGCGCGCGTCGCTTTCGTCTGGCAGTCCTCCAAGGGGCAGCGCCCCTCCCAGGGGGACCCCCACGAGGGTCAGGCCCCGTGCGCGCCACTGCTCCTCCAGTCCTGGAGGACAGGCCGCCCCGGCGGACCAGGCCCAGGCCGCCAAGGGCCCTCTGCGCCGCCGTCTGCACCCTGTCCGCGAGCGCCGGGGGCACCAGGACAACGACATCGTCCAAGTAGGCAAGAACGTGCACGTCGTCTGGGGTTTAGCCCCTGCTACCGAGCCGCCTCTTCCAAAACGCTCTCCAGCGCAAGCAAATAAACACGCAGCCCACAGGCGAAGAGCAGCGGCGCCAGCGGGTCGCCCTGGTCTACCCCGCCGGTGGAGTGCAGGCGGTGGCGAACCCCGGCCGCGTCCCAGAAGTAGTACAAGGACCCGCGGCGGCAGAACAGGTTCGCGTAGGGCAGGAGCGCCAGCGCCACCTCCTCCAGGCCGCGGAGTCAGGCTTCCCTGTGGGCGGAGCAGAAGGCGTTGTTGGCGTCAAGCGCCACCAGCACAAGGTCGGGGCTGGCCTCCGCCAGAGCCCTCGCCGCGTGTGCTCGCAACTCCGTGCCTGCAGCAGTGCCCACGGCGAACTGCTGTCTCCCCAGTGCCCCAGCGCCCGGCCCACCAGCCGCCGCAAGATGTATCCGGCGCGGGCCGGATCGACACCCCCGCCCGGCTTGCGCAGCGGCGTAAGCTTCGCCAGCGCCAGGGCCGCGGCGGCGCATTCGGGGACCCGCCCTTCTGCCGCGCGGCCGCAGACGCCGCAGAAAGCCGCCAAGGCCACGGGTTGGGCGAGCACGACCCGCCAGTGCTCGAAGCGCCCGCCGCCGGCCGCCGCGCCGCTGCCCCGGGGGCTCGCCTGCAGCGCTTTCTTCGGAGCCCGGTAAGAAAGCGGTGGCGGCCCAGCGGGCGGCGCTGCCGCTGGCGGGAGCGCGGCGGCCGGGCGCGGCTGGAGCAGCGCCTGCAGCTGGGTCGCCGTGTCGGGTGTGAGCGGCGCGAGGCCGGGGCTGCTCAGCAGGGCGGCGGCCCGGGAGTACTCCCAAACGCCCCGGCGAACGGCAGACGTGTGCCGTTGCCCACGCGGAGGCTCCACTTTCAGCCGGAACCTGCGCAGCGCCCGGGCAAGGGCGACATGTTGCCCGCTCGCGCGCGGGTGCTGCGAGCAAGAAGTATCCGCCACGCCGAGGCGGCAGGGACATTTCCAACACACATCCGCCGACCCTTCGGCGTGTGTGGGACGGTTTTCCGTTCGGGTCGTCGTCGTCATCGTCGTCGCAGTCGCCAGTCCCAAGAAAATTGAGG